CATTCAGAGAATTTAGGTTGGTTTTGCTTCTTTTGTTCCCTTAAGTTTCTGTTTCTTAGCTGAGATTCCCTATGTGTACATTGGTTATATTCATTTCTTTCTTTAATTCCTTAAAACATTAGACCTATTTTAAAGTTTTTGTGGGAAAATTCCAATATCTGTGTTATCTTGGAATCTGATTCTATTTATGGTATCTTTCTGAATTATGGGTCACATTTTCTTATTTCTTCATATACCAGTAATTTTTTAAAATTGTGCAATAGACTCTGTGGATCTTTAGTCATAAATAGTTTATATTATTTTCCTTTAAAGTATATTCAATTTTGTTCTAACAGTCAGTTAAATTAGTATTTAATCCTCTTGATTCTGTTATATTTGGTTTTACGCTTTGTTATGATGGGTCTCTTTTGGTTTTGTCCCTAATCTTTAGAGCATGGTGCTTACTCAAGTACATAATCCTTACTCCCAAAGAGTGACCCTTTGGGGATAGTAAGCAAGGTACACCAACTCTGGTGGGAATTGTGCAGTCTCTGGTATCTTCATCACTTGTAGCAGTTGCTCTCTGCTAGACTTTATAGCCTCACTCTATGCATGCACAGCCAGTTCCTTGCTAAGACCCTGGGAGAACCCACAGAGCTTCCCTGGGCCTGACTTTCTTCCCAGTATCCTGCTCTATCTGTATTTAATGAGCCCAGAGAGACTGATGACTGCTCTACGCCATGCCCCTCCCCTTTCCTGTTAATATGATCAAGAACGTGCCAACAGGTAGAAAGCCAGGGTAAATATGGGATTGATATCATGCATTTTTCCTCTCAGCAATCACAGCTTCTACATATATTTCGTCTGGTTTTATAGGGCAAAGGGTAAGTCCAATACCAATTACTCCATAATGCCTGGTTGCAGAAGTCCTCAATTCAAAATCTTACATTTTTATTTTTTAGCCAGAAAGTTTGATCCATTAGGAATTATTTTTATTATTCATCTTTAATCTTTATACTTCATTCTGGTTTTTTACATTCCATCTACTATCTTAGCATTTTTGCTCCCCCAATATAAAAAGTTATTTACTGTTACCTCATGCAGTAATTTGGGGGGTAGAATTAAAATTTATTATTTAATTTACATTAAGTTTTGAAAGTGTATATTCTTAAATATTTACTAAATTAATATAACAGAAAAGGAAATGCTGATTATCTTTTGAGGAAGATAAGTGTCCTGGGGTATATGTGCCTTTTCTTTCTTTCTTTGTTCATCTGAGGTTATTTCCATCATTTAAAATTAAAACTTAAAAATATATCCCTTGCAAGTAATATTAAAAATACTCAATAGACTATAAAAGTAATACACTGTAGTTCAAAGGCAAAAAAGTATGAAGAATTCTTTCTCCAATCCAATGTCCCAGCCAGTAAGTCCCCCTTTTCCATTACCAATCATCATTACCAGTGTTTTGTGCTTCTTCTCATGAATATTATGTGTTTGTGTTTATATACATATGCAGACGTAAACTCCAACTGTACATACTGGTAGGTACTTTTACTTCTCATTAAATGTCTATTAGTAATTCTTTCATATTGGTATGTAGGTGCAGGTTTTTAAGTCTTCCATTGTAGGGATAGATCATAATCTTCCATTGTGTGGATAAATCATAGTTTATTTAATCATTACCCTATTTATTAGCATTGCAGATTTTTCTATTACTTTTGTACTTAAAAATCCTATAGAAATTATCCATATATATTAATTTGCAAGTTTAAATGAAGGATACATTTGAGGAAGTAGAATTGCTGGTTATTCCTTTTTAAAAATTTGACATATATTGCCATATTGCTTCCTGATATTATTGTTAACAAGTGTAAGAATTCCTATATCCCACCACCCTCTTTAAGAAGTGTGCTTTCAAATGTGTTTATCTTTACCAATCTGATAGGTAGCAAGTGCTGTCTTATCATAGTAATATTATGAGTAAGACTGACATGTATGAGCTGTGTGAATTTTCTTTTCATAAAAAATCCTTTGCCATTTTTTCTATTAGTAATATTGGTCCCTTCCTTTTTGATATTTAGGAACTCTTTGTGAATTATACCAACTAATTCTTCAAGAAATTAGTTGCTTTTTTTCCTTTCATTTTTGCAGTGTAGAAAAGTTTTATTTCATTTGGTTGGACTTACAAAACCATAAAAAGAAAACCTGGAATAATTAAAATAGCCATTTACAGTATAACATAAAATTACATTCAATATTTGAGTGAATTCTGTTGATTCTGCCTTCAAAATATATCTAGAATCCCACTACCCTAATCCAAACCCTATTTTCTGTTGTCTGGACTATTATAAAAGTTTAAGAGTACATTCCCCCTTTTCTACCTTGCCTCTCCCTCACCTAGTTTACTTTCCACACAGCAGCCAGAATGATCCTTCTAAAATGTGGAATATATTATGTCATGCTCAGAAACCTCCAGTGGCTTCTCATCTCAAAAGAAAATCCAAAATGAAATATATTCTCTGATCCTATACCTGATCATGGCTACTTCTCTGACTTTGCCTGCTATTGCTCTCCTACCACTTTGCTGTGGCTTCGACTTCATCTCTTTGTTATTTGTTGAACATGCCAAACACAATCCCTTCTCTGATTCTTTCTCCTTACTTTTTCTACTGCTTGAAATTTTCTCCAGATATCACAAAACTTCCTATTCCACCTTCTGTTTAAATACCATCCTTTCCCTCTCCTTCCCCATTATTACTCTCTCTTTCCCCTTCTTTTCTTTTTGAATTCAATTTTTTTCTCTGTAGAACAACACTGCTCAAGAAAACTTTACATGATTATGGAAATATTTTATATATCTGCTGTCCAACACAGTAACTACTAGTTACATGTGGCTATTAAGTAATTGAAATGTAGCTAGTGTGACTGAGAATATTGAATTTTAGACTTTTCTTTTCAGAACTTGGGCTTGAACTCAGGGCCTCATGCTTGCTAGGCAGGTGCTCTACCACTTGAGCTACTCTGCCAACCCTTTTTTATATTGGGTGTTTTTGAGATAGGGTCTCATGAACTATTTGCCTGGGATTGACTTTGAATTGTGATCCACTTTGAACTGTGATCCTCCTGATCTCTGTCTCCTGAGTCCTAAGTAGCTAGGATTATAGGTGTGATCCACCAGTGCTCAGCTAGATTTCTTTTCTTTTCTTTCGTTTCCTTTCTCTTTTCCCTATCTCTTTTTCTTTCTCTCTTTCTGTTTTTCTTTCTCTCTGTTTTTTTCTTTCCCTCTTTCTTTCTCTTCCTCTCTTTCTTGCTCTCACTTTTTCTTTCTCTTCTTTCTCTTTCTTTTTTTCTCTTTCCTTTTTCTTTCTCCCATTCTCTCTCTCTCTCTCTCTCTCTCTCTCTCTCTCTCTCTCTCTCTCTCTCTACTTCCTTCCTTCCCTTTTTCCTTCCTTCCTTAATGGGGATCTCGTTATGTTGCCCAGGCTAGGTCAGAAATCCTTGGCTCAAGGGGACCTTCTCCCTTCAACCTCTTGAGTAGGTAGGACTGCAGGTGCATGCCACCATGCCAGATTTAAATTTTAAATTTAATTTAAATAGCCCCATATGACTTGTGGCTATTGTATTTTATAGTGCAGGCAAAGAATATGTAAAAAAAGGAACCTTGTTTTTGTGCATCAATGCAACTCAGTACCTATGTGCCTGTTATGTAGTAAATACTCTATAAATGTCTGTTGAATGAATAAAAGAACAGGATAGTTATTCCTATTCATCTCTGAACTCCTGATGAATCTTTTAATCCATAACTCCAGATTGTACACTTCTCAGTCATCTATTATTATCCCCATACTTCAAGGTGTTCAACCAATGATCCTTTAGATCCTTTCCTAAAAGTTTACTTGTATATCAAAAATTCTAATATTCATATATATTATAAATTAGGCAGGATCATATTTGGCAATGTGGGGTACAGATAAGAGGAAATGCAGAAGGAGGAAAAGGTCTTCTCTACAGCAGAGCTCATTTTGAAGGAAGTAAGCATCCATATAATAAGTCATACTTTTTCCAGGAGTCCCAATTTGTCTCTTTCCTCTCCTATATTTTCCCAAATAAGAGCATCTTCAACTTATGAAAATTCACTGAAGATGGTATCCATCATGAAGGTCAAGGGACTATGAATTAAAATATTCCTATTAACTTTTATCAAAATGCTCAGGGCTGTTATCCTTAAGAGAACATCTTTTTGTGACTAAAAATCCTTATGGCTGCCATCTACAATAACACTTAGAATTTTGTTTTGTTTTTTTGAGACAATTTCTTGCTATGTAACCCAGGCTGGCCTCAAACTCCCAATCCTCCTGCCTCAGCCTTTTGAGTGCTGGGATTACAAGTGTAATTCCACCATCCCCAGCAATAATTACAGTTTTGAAGATGAGATTAGTAGGTAAATTGCTTCTGACAGATACTCTTAAAAATGGACAAAAGTTAGAATTTTAGAGAAGTGATAAATAATGTAAATGTTGAATCATTTATTTATAAGCTACATTCCATGGAACTCCTTCAGGAATTCTACTCATATTCAATTCTTTGTTTTACATGTTTGTACCTTTTTTGCAAAGTTACTTTTATTTGACAAAGAGTTCATCTTTGGAAACTACAGCTTTTATACTTTTTTCATTTGCTGATTATCTCAGTTTCTGTGGGGGATGCTGAGGTTGAACTCTGGGCATCACACATGCCAGATAAGCCTTCTACCACTGAGCTTTATCTCCCATCTTTTCAATAAGACTTTTGAAAGAAGCCAGGAGTGGGTTCAGGTAAGAATTATATGACAAAAGGGTAATCACTGTTGCTGATTGGAGGGTGATGCATTTGGTTTGGATAACAGGAATGCAGGTAATGAATCTGAAATTATGAAAAATTGATGAGTTAGGTGCTTACTCTTGTGGGGTGCCATAGACAGATCCTCAAAAAGTAGTTTTGGTTGATCTAAATTGAAAAGAATTTGTTTTTCTAATCAGCAGGTTAACAGAGATCCACAACAAGCCTTTCGATTGTGGCTTAAGAAAAAGCATGAAGAGCAAATGAAAGAAAGAAAGACAGAAGAACTAAGAAAGCAAGAGGAATGCTTATTCTTCCTCAAAGGAACAGAAGGCCGTGAAAGGGCTTTTAAGCAGTAAGTTAAAAACAGGGCATTTTTATTTTAAAAGCTAACATGTCCTCCTTTTAATTATGTGGGTAAAATTCTGCATTATCTCACGAGTTCTGAGAATATAAACCTGGATTCATAATATTGCTGGCAAACCCTGGAGAGATAGAATGAGTATTGAGTCCATGTGTTTGAAATCCTTTGTTCCCTTCCTTCCTTCTTCCCCTTCCCTCCCTTTTATTTCTCTCTCACGCTCTCTCCTTTCACACACACACACACACACACACACACACACACACACACACACACACACACACAAATAGTAAATGTCCATTGAGGAAAAGGAAACTGTTTATATTTTCATCACCCAGAAATCATAATCAAAACCATTAGTACTGGAATGCATGTCTTCTAGATATTTCTCTGTATTGAGGGTATACTGTGCATACTGTTCTCCCATCTGCTTATTTTATTAATAATCTTATCAAATATCATATTTATTTCTCCCCATAACTAATCAATAATTGACGTAGAGGTAATTTGTTTAAAGTAGTATCCAATTCAGGAACATACAAAATTATGATTTTTCTTGAGTCTTTTGTATTCTAATAGGTAGTTGGTTGCTTAAGTTTATTTCTGGAAAAAACCATATATATATATATATGTAATATATGCATACTTTCCTCTACATGCTTATGTACCAGAGATATGTATATATAGTTATTTTAAATAGGCAAGTTTTATAGACTTGATATTTTGGAGTGTGATCTTCCTCTACCTTGTTTTATGCTGAAGCTTAGGCTTTTTTCATTTTAAGGAAGAACTATTGAACTAAAAAGGAAGAACTCTTTACTTTTCCAAAAAGAAGAGTCTTTAGCACTTCTGCATCAGACTAATATTTTTAACCTGGTTAGGTAATGTTTTAGAATACAGCTAATTGAAAAAAATAAGTTATTTGGAATCTATCAAATAGTTATTTGCTTAGAAAATCATATTTCTTAAGGAAGGATAGGCACTTATAACAGATAAAATATTGTGCTTATTATTACAAAGCCAATTAAGTTGGCAGTTTCATCATGACAAACTTAATTTCAAACATTTGATTCCAAATATAACTATGCTTTCTTGAATGAGCCTAGGGTATAAGCCTGAAATTTTTCAGTTAATATTTAATAATTTGTGTTGTGGCAGTATTTTAGTGTAAAAAAGACAGTTTTCTACATTTATAGAGTAAAAGTATATATTCAATGTAAAAAATGTCAATTTACTATCTTTATAGCATAAAAATTACATTTAGGTGATACTCACCAAACCTGATCATGTCTCTTTCTACAGATGGCTCAGAAGGAAACGGATAGAAAAAATAGCAGAGCAACAAGCTGTCAAAGAGAGAGCAAGGCAGCTCCGACTAGAAGCCAGACGTTCTAAACACTTACAGAACCACCTATATAACATGTCAGAGGCCAGAGCATTTCGTTTTACTGATTACTACAACTGAAGAGTCTATTAAATACTGCATCCAGCAGCTGCTATCACCAAAATTTGGATATCATTTCTATGGCCCTTGTGATTTGGTAATACTCTAATTTGTGGAAATGGTATTTATCCTTTGGTGATATTGACAGTGAATTTAAGTTTTTGTTTAACACTAAAACAAAATAAACCTCTCTCACAGTATTGGAATGTGCTTGTGCCTTCTCTTTGTGCAACAAATTGAACAATAAGTGAACTCTATGTTCTTCTCCTTCTAAATTATTTCATTAACATTTCTACCTGGAAAAGACACAGAGGAGACAGATTTTATTTATAGTTTCTATTATCATTAAAAAGTACATTAGGACATTTCATAAAACAGGAGGAGTGACTTCATCAAACCTTTTGCAAGGCCTTATAGTCCTATTTATACGAACTTTGAATTTAAGTAGTTGTGGTAAGCTAAACAATAGTGTAGGTCTAATTTCACTTGTTAATACTATTAAAAAGATAATAACAATTATGCTTAATACTATTTTAGATGTTACAAAATTAGCCTTTATTGAGCTTATAATGTGCCTTTTATTGTTATAAATGCTTTACTATGACAGTCTCATTTGTCTCATTTTTTTCAGATGAGGAAAGTAAAGTATATCTATGTGAGAGGTTCATTCACATAGACTCTGACTTACACAGTCAGATACTTTTAGTTATGTTATAAAGCTAACATTCCTTGGTAGACATTGGGAAATACATGATTATATAGGAATCTGGTATGTGGAGGAATAGTAGTCTTAATATGTGTAATTACATGTAAAGGGTAGAGGACAAAGGTAATCATGCAAGTGTAGTGGAGAGTAGAGAGTGCTATTAAAGGTTCTTGTCAACTGAATCACTTGACTAAATATGATGTTAAAAAACATATCTCACAATACTCAATATGGAGCTGAACATTTATATGATTTTAGAAAGCTTGTAAGGCTGCTGAACTAAGTATAGAATAGGTACAGAACCCAAATACTTGATTGATGAGAAGTATATGTTTAACTTAATTTTTTAAGGAAATGAAGTATTTTTGTTTTAGAAAGAAATGAGAAAAGTCCTGTGTGAGGTAAAATTTGGGATCTGAATGAAGGAGGATGGTGAAGTGGATGATGAAATAGTATTTCTAAATATAAATATTGATACATATTTTACAGGATATAAATAATGTAATTTAGAAAGATAGATGGAAAAAAGGACTGATAAAATTTAATGGATCAGCCTTTTGTTATTAGTTAGGGAAAGAAGTTACATTTTAATAGACTTTTTAGGTAACTGTGGACATTATTTAATTTTGCAATAAAACTTAACAGGCAGTAGTTTCTTTAGGATGAACCAACCTTTATTTCCTCTATTTTTTTTACTGATAAGGGGTCACTGATAAGGGGCTCACATTGTTCTTCCCTATGTGTCAGAGACAGAGGATCCCTTACCTCTCCTGCAAAACCCCTACCCCTTTGTGTCTGTCTTCATGTCTGTTAATGGGTGGAAAGCAGAGTAAGGGCACCCCCTTGGAGTGTATGCTTAAAAACTTAAAAAAGGGATTTATTGGAGACTATAGAGTGAAGTTAACTCCATAACAAGCTTAGGACCCATTGTGAATTAGATTGGCCTGCTTTTGGTGTAGGGTGGCCCCCAGAAGGGTCGATAGACAAAATTGTAGTCAATGAAGTTTATAGGGTAATTGTAGGGAAGCCTGGGAAACTAAATCAGTTTCCCTACATTGATTGCTGTCAAGATGCAATTCTCAGCTGGCCTGCATTGCTAAGACCTTGTCTGGAAGAAACCTGTAGGACCATGGTATCTAGGGTGGCTGCAACTTTCAAATGTAGGGAGAAATCAAAGAAGCCTGTACTGGCTGAGGAGCTTGAGGAAATGCCCCCACTCTATGTGCCACTTTATCCACCCCTGCCACTGGCACCCAGTTCTGCGCCCTCACCTTCAATATTGGATAGGGAAGCTCCACGGACAGTCACACCTGTAAAATCTGGCCCGGAGGCCTCTGGGGCCTCAACTCCCCTGACCTCCTCTATCCTATGGACCTCATATCCATTCTGAGTCCACCAGTTCTCACTGCACATCCCCCATTCAATTGCATTCAACCAGTCACCATGAGGACCCCTCCTCTCCTCAGACACCCACTGTCCTGCCTATGCCCCTGAGGGAAGCCCAAGGCCCAATGGATTATGATCAGGATGGTCAAATACAAGGAGGAGGATGGATATTTGTCTACCAGTCCTTTACTACCACTGAACTCCTAAAGTAGAAACATCATACCCCTCATTCACAGAAAAGCCTCAGGCTCTGATTGACTTATAAGAGCCCATCATCCAAACGCATAAACATACCTGGACAGACTGCTGAGTCAGAGCTTCTACTGACTCTTCTCAATACTGAAGAGTGACACCATAAAACGTTGGCAGCTGTAAAGTGGTTGGAAGATCATGCCCCTGCAGGCACTTTAAATGTCCATGCCTGTTCTCAGGCTCAGTTCCCAGAGGAGGACGCCCATTGGAACCCTAACAATGACGGAGACTACCAGCAGCTTAAATGATATCAGGAGGCACGATTGGGAGACATGAAGGAAGGAGGGGAAAAGACCAAGAACACGAACAAAACATCAGAAGTCCTCCAAGGACCAGACGAGAATACCAGTCAGTTTTATGAGCATTTGTTTGAGGCCTTCCACTTATACACCTCTTTTTTTTACTATTGTTTTATTACTCATATGTGCATACAAGGCTTGGGTCATTTCTCCCCCCTGCCCCCACCCCCTTCCTTAACACCCACTCCGCCCCCTCCCTCTCCCCCCCACCCCCTCAATACCCAGCAGAAACTATTTTGCCCTTATCTCTAATTTTGTTGAAGAGAGAGTATAAGCAATAATAGGAAGGAACAAGTGTTTTTGCTGGTTGAGATAAGGATAGCTATACAGGGAGTTGACTCGCATTGATTTCTTGTGCGTGTGTGTTACCTTCTAGGTTAATTCTTTTTGATCTAACCTTTTCTCTAGTTCCTGGTCCCCTTTTCCTATTGGCCTCAGTTGCTTTTAAGGTATCTGCTTTAGTTTCTCTGCATTAAGGGCAACAAATGCTAGCTAATTTTTTAGGTGTCTTACCTATCCTCACCCCTCCCTTGTGTGCTCTCACTTTTATCATGTGCTCAAAGTCCAATCCCCTTGTTGTGTTTGCCCTTGATCTAATGTCCACAGATGAGGGAGAACATATGATTTTTGGTCTTTTGGGCCAGGCTAACCTCACTCAGAATGATGTTCTACAATTCCATCCATTTACCAGTGAATGATAACATTTCGTTCTTCTTCATGGCTGCATAAAATTCCATTGTGTATAAATACCACATTTTCTTGATCCATTTGTCAGTAGTGGGGCATCTTGGCTGTTTCCATAACTTGGCTATTGTGAATAGTGCTGCAATAAACATGGGTGTGCAGGTGCCTCTGGAGTAACCTGTGTCACAGTCTTTTGGGTATATCCCCAAGAGTGGTATTGCTGGATCAAATGGTAGATCAATGTTTAGCTTTTTAAGTAGCCTCCAAATTTTTTTCCAGAGTGGTTGTACTAGTTTACATTCCCACCAGCAGTGTAGGAGGGTTCCTTTTTCCCCACATCCTCACCAACACCTGTTGTTGGTGGTGTTGCTAATGATGGCTATTTTAACAGGGGTGAGGCTTATACACCTCTTTTGACCCAGAAGCCACTGAAAACCAGTGGATGATTAATGCTGCTTTTGTTGGCCAGGCCCAAGGGGACATAAGGTGAAAATTGCAGAAACTGCAGGGATTCACTGGAATGAATGTCAGCCAGCTCTTGTAGGTGGTCACAAAGGTTTTTGTTCATCAAGATTAGGAGGCAAAATGGGAGATCAACAAGAAGAAGAAAAAGAAAGTGGACCTCCTTGCTGTGGCCCTTGTTGAATGTAGGTGGGCCCCAATGGGCTGGTCCAGGCAGAGTCAGGGACAACTTCCACAGATGGCAATCAGTGCCCCTGGGATGTCCCTGCCCTAGGGAGGAACTAGGGAGAGATCAATGCACCTACTGTCACCAAGATGGGCACTGGAAGAATGAATGTCCCCAATGGGCCAGGGACTCCCAGAAGGCCCCCCAGACCAGATACAGAGGCCGAGTTGTCAAGGGAAAATATCAGCCTAACTTTGGGGAAGCCAGCTGCTGGGAGGAAAACATTGTCAGGCTAGCAGCCTTGGAAGGCTATGAGGAGGAATAGGACAGACCAGGCCCCCAGGACTTTATGGTCCGAATGAGGATAGGGGGGCCATCGAGTTAACCTCATGGTTGATACAGGTGCAGAACACTCAGCTGTGACCCAACCAGGGAGCCCCCTTTCACAAAAGTATGCAGCTATTATTGGGGCTATGAGGAACTGGGCTCACCACCCCTTGTTAGTGTCTAGACAATGCAATCTTGGGAGCCATGAAGTAAGGCATGAATTTCTCCATCTCCCAGATTGCCCTGTGGCCCTGATGGGCAAGGACCTATTATGCAAACTGAGAGCACAGATAACCTTTGATTCTGATGGCATAACAGCTTTAAAACTCAGAGGACCTGAGGCAAAGGCTCTAACGCTCATGGTCATGCAAAGTAGGAAATGCAGCTCTATGCCCTTGAGGGAAGGCCTCCTGAAATTCCTGAGCTTCCGTCAAGATTCCAGGTTTATGGGCTGAAGGTAACGCCCATGGGCTGGCCTGAAATGTGCCCCCACTAGTGGTGGAATTAAAGCCGGGGTCATCCCCATCAGCCAAAAGCAGTACTTCATTCCCCACAAGGCCCAGGTTGGAATTCAAAACCACCTTGACAAACTCCTAAAGTATGGGATCCTTTGACCATACCAGTCATCCTGGAACACCCCCTTATTACCCATCTGAAAACCAAGGACCAAAGATTTTAGGCTGGTTCAGGGCCTCTTGGCAGTAAATTCAGCAACTGTCATTCTGCACCCTGTAGTCCCGAATCCCTACATGCTCTTAGGCCTTGTTCCAGCTGAGCCAAAGTTTTTTACCTGCCTAGACCTTAAGGACACAT